CCTGCTCTACTGAACATAAAACATGACACAAATCTCTCAACACACTTATACAAAAAAAGGGTTGGATTTTGATGGAATCCTGTCTGAGCAGATGATGCAGATTGACAAACAAATCCATTCCATTACAGACTTCATTTTTGAGTCATTCTTTTGTTCTAGAAACCACAGGCCCTGGAGATGGCATACAATCTCGGCTGCAGCCAGGGATTTAGCCTGAATTTATAGTAGACTCAAGGGGTGTGGCTAGTGGCAACAGTTTGTGTAGGATAAAGAGGAGAGACTCCTATCTGCCAGAGTAAGATAAAGTAGTTTCAGAGGAATGATAGGACACTGAAAGGCTGTGAAATCTCCAGCAAGAGAAAGTATACTGTGCCTCTGATTAACAGCTTTAGTTTTTGTTTTACCCTTTTCTATGTAATTTTTCTTTTGGTTTTGGTTTTAGTTTTTTGTTCGTATTTTATGTCTGTGCACTTTTGTTTTTGGAAACACTTTTTTTTTTTTTTTAAATAGAGAGGGTTAAGGAAACGTTTTCTATTGTGGTAAAATACATCTGTGCCTCTTTTGTCATCAGCTTACCCCGTCACCAAAGAAAACTCATGTCATTCTGGCAGGGTGCCAGTGACTTTATCAAACATTATATTCTCTATCCCCCTTACCAGCCACACATGCATTTTGGATTCATCTTGATTTTGTCCTCCCTGATGCACCACATTGTTACCAGGGGCCTACTCAAAAGAGAATATATATAAATTTATCTCAAGCCCCAATGTCACTGTACTATCAACAGAATATATTTTCCAAACTCTTTTACTGTAATTCTGATCCTTTGAATGTACCCGTAAACCAGAGACTGCCAAAGTGAGCATGTGAGACCGAATGTGGCCCATACAATCCTTGTATGCCCTTATCTCTAATAGGGTGGTGTGACCAGTGAAGGCCATAGTTCCCACTATGTAATGGTCCATTTTGACCTGTGACATCACACGGTGTTGAATGCTGATATTTGCAGTCTGCAGGCCTCACCTCTATATCATGGATAAGGGGACTGTAATTTGCTCCAGTTTATTTTACTTGTTGATTCATGTATAAAATCTCATCTCTTACAATTGACTCAGGGTGTATGAACATGTTTTTTTTTAAATCCCCACCAAGTTAATTAATATTAATCCCTAGTAGATACACTTCATTCTACAAACCAGGAGTAAACTTAACACAATGTCCCTATACTCACTCACTTAAAATAAAGAGAAAACCAATGGGCTTTTACTTCATATTGATATGCAGACTCTGTTAGAACAAAGGAGGAATGAATGACAGAGTAGAGGGCCCTCCATTCAGAACACTCTGTCACCTACCTGCAGAGGTTTAAATCTGGGAACACTTTGTTCAAGTACATGTCAGTTGATCTCACGCATTATGGTGAAATGGGGGGAAAATACAGGCTTACAGATACAAGTTATTTGAGCCATAAAGGATTTTAAAGATCACTATCAACACTTTGAATCACATCTGGACACATAAAGGCCTCACACACACATGAGCAGAAGGGGTGTCAGAGTGAGAACTTGTGGGACTATCCATGAGACCAGCCTCAGGGCAGATTAGTGGCTACTCAACACCACCCTCTAGTGCAGGGGTGGGCAAACTTTTTGGCTTGAGGGCCAAATCTGGGTGAGGAAATTGCATGCAGGGCCATGAATGTAGGGCTGGGGCAGGGGGTTGGGGTGTGGGAGGGAGTGTGGGGTGTGAGAGGGGGTGCGGTAAGCAGGAAGGGGCTCAGGGCAAGGGGTCGAAGTGCAGGAGAGGTGCAGGGTGTACAAGGGGGCTCAGGGCAGGGGACTGGGGTGCAGGGAGGGGTGTGGAGTGCAGCAGGGGGTTGAGGTGCAGGAGGGGTGCGGCAGGGGGCTCGGTGCAGGGGGATCAAGGCAGAGGGTTGGGGGCTCAGGGCAGGGGGTTGAGGTGCGGGAGGGAGTGCGTGCTGTGTGCAGGAACGGCTCAGGGCAAGGGGTTGGGTGCAGGTGGGGTGTAGCGTGTAGCAGGGGACTTGGGTGCAGGAGGAGGTGCGGCGTGTGGGAGGGGGCTCAGGGCAAGGGTTCGGGCTCCAGCCCAGCGCCGCTTACCTTGAGCAGCTCAGGGGTGGCAGCGGCACGCAGCGGGGCTAAGGCAGGCTCCCTGCCTACTCTGGCTCTGTGCCGCTTCCGGAAGCGGCCAGCACCACGTCCCTGCAGCCCCTGGGGGAGGAGGGGCAGAGGGCTCCGTGCGCTGCCCTCGCCTGCGGGTACCTTCTCCCGAAGCTCCCATTGGCCACAGTTCCCCGTTCCCAGCCAATGGGAGCTACGGAGGAGGTACCCGCAGGTGAGGACAGAGCACGGAGCCTTCTGTCCCCCCCAGATTCCCCCCCCGGGGGCCGCAGGGACGTGGTGCCGGCCGCTTCTGGGAGTGGCGAGGGGCCAGGGCAGGCAGGGAGCCTGCCTTAGCCCGTGGCGCCACAGTGGCAATCCCACGGGCGGGATCCAGCCCACGGGCCATAGTTTGCCCACTCCTGCTCTACCGTCATTATGAACTAAAGTAATTTTATATCTAAGTGGCCCTTGGTTTGGCAGTATGGACGCTTCTCACATGTAAACATATTAGAGAAAGCAATGATGTAACCAAGTCTTCTTCAAAATGTTGCTAGCGCTGGAGAAAAGTGTGTGCATATAGTGGTGGTGGCAGGGTTAATCATATTTATAAAAATTCTAATTCAGGGTTTGTTTTTTATTTTATTCCTAACCCACCCACACAGAAATATAAATACTTGTCTCAATGGTTATGATCAAGAATTTAAATATACTCCTTGCATTCATAAGTCCTTTACTGTACTGGTTATCGATTTGTTCTGAAAGCATTTTAAGACAATATAACCTATATAAACCCTGCAACTCTCAGTTGTGATACTGTCACAAGCTAGGGTTTGTATCATAAAGGTGCACACAGCTAGGATCAGTTGTAATTTCTATTACAATTTTGCTTTTATGGATTTATAAAAACATTGTTTTAACTGACATTGGGATAAAACTGGCATACTAGTTGTCAATGTAATTGCAATTTTTCTGAGCATGAATAGCTTGACTTGGTTAAACACTGTTTCTCAATATATAGTAGAGCAACTAAAAATAATTTTTGGTGCTGTCAGATTTCTTTTGAGGACTCTGCTTTACCTAATTAATTCCTTGGTATTTTTTGTTACTTTGAAAATTGTTGTTGAAGACAAATTTTGAAAAATGGTTATTGGACAGTTTAATGTTTTTAATCTGTGTTACAGAGAAGTTTCCATAAAATCATCACCACATTATTGCATAGAATACTATATGATCTGTATATTTGTCTGATTGTTGTAAGGGACTTTACTGTATGAAGACAGAGATAATTCAAGGAGAGGCTGATACCCCGTAGGTAGGAAAGAGTAGCATGGCTTCACGTAGCCATCCAGCAACCAACAATTAAGAGACAGTGCAAGAACCATTCATTTACTTTGATGTCCTACCTCTGACCCTCTGCTAAACTCACCAGAAGAGCTTGTCAAGACAGGGGACCCATCTGGTAAACAAAGGAGAACCTAAAGGCCCCAGAAACTGAAATAGAGGACTTCTCAGAGGGATTAAAAGTGACTCTCTCTAGGGAAGGGAGAATTGTTCGCAGGAGACCGTAAAGAGGCCTGCCTAGGGTTTTTAAGAAGGGGTGACAAGCCTCTAGGTGAGACAGATCTGCATATAGGCTGTTTATTGTTTAAAATGCCCTTTTTTCTCTCTCTTATGCTATGCTTTGTTTCTACTCTTAAGAGTAAAGAATATTTTTGTTTGAGAAGGCTGTCTGGTCACTGTATTTACCACTGGTCACTGACTCCCAAAGAACTACAGGTACTGAATCCGGTTAGACCTGCCAGGTAAGCACAATCGATACACAGGGTACTGTAGCCCAGGACCCTGTCTAAGAGTGGGGGAATTGCCTGGTTCCACCTCAGGAGATGTAAAGGCACAAGGTCGGAGACCTGAGGTGGTGCACTCAGAGACTGGAGAGGGAAGAGAGGTGCAGCTAGCCCTGTAACCATGACAAGTGTAAATCAAGATGACTCCACTTAAGTAAATAGTTGTTCTGATGTAAGTGAGATCAGAATCTGGCCCAGTGTTCTAAAACGTTTTAACGTAACAAATGCTGTAACATATCATGCCTAAAAGCCCAATATTTCCCTGTGTACTTTAAACATATTTATCTGTGTTAATAACTATAAACAAATAATTCAGACAAACATAAAATTGTACTGCTACTATAACAGGTCAAGTATGCCAATGAAGGAAACTTAGCGATTCTGTTCAGTAATTTTATATAGAGACTGGATGAGCCAAAGCCCATCTTCACTTCACCATTCATCTTCATTCACCAACATTCACTTCCCCGGTGTCCATGCATTGAAGCACACATTATGGTACACAAGAACCATCACACCATATTCTTTAACCCCTGCAGCACTTTACTGCCTTTCCATTAAGTTTCTTTGTTGAATTTGTTCATTTTTGCCAGTTTAACATGGATATTTAACCTTCAGGTAGGTTAGGCTTGAAATATAAGTTGTGTATAATAAATAAAACCTAAAGTTAATAAAAACATTCTTTACAAAAGCACATTACAGTGAAAACAGTTATTGTTTTGGTTTTGAACATTCCCCTGAAATGCCTGCAAACCAAACTTTACAGCATTGTAGTGCCCATAAAGGAGAGCCGGAAGGTGAAACTGACCAGTCTGTTTTCATTGCCCAAATTATACCAAAAGGCAAACAAATTGAAATTTTAAAATCTAAAACTTTTTGTGCATTCATTTTTAATAAGATGTTATTAGTAGCACAGGTATGGAAATGAGATTTTTTTTAAAAAAATTGTGTGATTTTTAACCAGATAGTTTCTTTTCTATATATTTTTGCTCACTGAGCCAGTCTCTTCATTGTCAGTAAACACTGCCCTTACCTTCATGTGTGATTTGAGATTGTCCTTGCGTGCACAGCGAAATGGACAGAGTGGGCACTGATGACTTTTTAAACCTGTATGAATCACCATGTGTCGTTTCCAGTAACTCTTCCTCTTTATAACCAACCCACAGATTGGACACTGAAAAGGTTTTCCTCCTTCTTCTTCTGAGGCTTAGTGGAGGGAGAAAAGAAAAAGAGAAGGTCCTTTACAGCCACTGGTAGAATACTTTCCCCTCATAAACATACCCAAATATCATTTTACAACTTTAGATTTTCATCTGCAAAGACAGACACAGTACTGGTTAAACACCAACATCCACCAAAGATTTCAATTCCTCTTCTTCCATATTCAAACCTCCCTAATCTAGTTATGCTCCCTCTTAAGAGCTGTAATTTAAGATTCATTTATCAAGTTAAAGTCTCAAAAACTCATTGGATAGCCAGTAGGTGATGCTACTCTTCCTCACCTGGCCCTGTACTTCTCACAAACATCATTCGGTAGCCAAATTTCCTATCTACTATCAGCTTGATCAGGGAAAAATGCTTAACTCTTGATTTTAAAAGTGATGAATTCCAGTATTTGATGGATAATGAAAAAAGAAGATATTAAATACAGAATTCACACTTCTTAATCAAAAACCATGCTGGCGTCATAAACCTGACACGCTCAAGGCCAGAACCGAGTGATTTCAGAATCCCTGCTGTTGAACTTGTTTACTTATGGCTCAAGCAGATGCTGCTGCCACTTCAGTCATCAGGTGGTCTTCGGGTCATGGGATTTTTTTCTTCTTCTATCCTGTTTCTCTGCTTGCCAGTGCATTAAACCTACTGCCTTTTTCTAGACATCTGGACACTATTTTGCACAGTATCGTCCATTGTAAGAGAGAATGGCAACCAAGGCCCAGGAAAGATGTTTGTATTTGTCAAGCAAATATAATTTATCTACTAAGTATGGAATAATCACCAGGCTAAGGGGAAGGGAGATTCTTTGTTGTTGACGTGACACAATGAAACATTCTGACATCTCACTACAAATGCCTCTGCCCATTACGAGGAAGTTTGTAGTGTTGTCATTGAACTAGAAGACAATTTTTATGATTGCTAAAAGGCAGTTTGATTATTTCTGAAAATCCAGAAGTTAGTAGTGTCTATCCTGCTATTTGGAATTATTTCCAGACTATTTCAGGTCATTATCTAATGTATTCATCAGCTATTTTCTACCTGCAAGAATTCATGAAATTTAACATTTCCTGTGATTGGAAACCAACTAATAAAACCTCCAGAATGATTTTGTAATATGTTTCAGTATAATTTCTACTAGCTGGTAGGAGACAAAAATATAATTCATCTGATTACATAGTCCTTCTGACCTAATCAACAAGCCTGAGAGAAAGAGTACATTTCAATGTGTGTTTTGCAGCTTCAGAAACTTCATGAGTAGAATTTCTATCACACTCAATATATTATTAAATTGCTCCGTCATTGCATCTTTGAAAAGTCAGCGGAAACCAACACTATAATTGCTAGTGTTTCACTTTTTTCATGTCTTTCCTCATTTCTTTATAAAAGGTAAGAGACAAACTACAGAAATATATATTAGTAGCATTTTTACTCATCAAGTCATTTCCTTCTATCATGTCTCCTTTTCAGCAACTGGTTATCATCAGAAGGGAATCAGAAATAAATGTAGCAAGTTCTGTCACCTATTTTCTAACCCACTAATAATAGGTCTATAAACAAGGTGGCTTACCAGCAATTTTGCACATTACTTTAGGCCAAACCCAGAACTGGAGTGAGCGAGTAAAACTCCGCTGATAACAATGAGAATTCCTAATATACAGGAATTGTGTGATCCACCACAACAATGCAGCCATTTCTTGGGTGGAACACAAGAGTTGCTTATAACACTACACAATGCTTTAGCATAAGAAGCAAAGAATACTGGGCCTGTGTCACCTCTCACTTATACTGATGTAAAATCAGGAACAACTCCAATTAATTCTATGGAGCTACATGACTGTAAAACTGATGTGAGAGGAGAATCAGACTCACTGAATCCAACTGAAAATCAGGAAGAATGCTGTACGTGTTCCATGCAAAGTGTTTATTGCTCAAATGGGAATTTGATCTAGGCATAGGGGCTAACACTCATATTCTTGCAAAAGTGGCATGGGATCTTAAACAGGGAGTCAGGGCCAATGTTCCCTCTAATTTTCCCATCCATGTGCGGAATGAATTTTGTTATGTGCACCAATATGGAGTTTATGTGTAGCAAGGGTGGGGCTGAGGGTTTCGGAGTGTGGGAGGGGGCTCAGGGCTGGGGAAGAGGGTTGGAGTGCAGGGGGTGAGGGCTCCGGCTCAGGGTGCAGGCTGCCCCAGGAGTGCAGCAGGGAGAGAGGATTCCCCACAGCCCTCTCCCCCCACAGCAGCCCCAGGGCTGTGGGGTGGGTGGAGGGAGGAGAGGCGCCTTGCCCCGCCACAGCAGCTCCGGGGCTAGGGAAGAGGAGCCTCGCCCCACCGCAGCAGCCCCGGGGCTTGGCAGGGGGAAGGCATCTAGCCCCGCTGCAGCAGCCCCGCAGCTGGGAGGGAGAGGTGTCTGGCCCCGCCGCAGCCCGGCATGCCCCAAGCTCCCCCATCACTTCCCTCCACCTCACCCCACTGCCTCCACATACTCCCTATTTCCCACCTCATCCCACTGCCATCTTCCAGGCCCACCTGTGGCCACACCCCTGAGTGCAGCGTGCACTGCGCGGCTCTGCTAAGTGCACAGCCCTTGGTGGCCTCCTGCGTGACTGCGCATGCACGCACTTTAGAGGGAACATAGGTCAGGACTTCATTTTACATTTCATCCAAAAGACAGCAATACCAACTTTAAAATGTTTCATAACACTGCTGGTACAGTGATTTAGTGGGTCCCACTTCAGTCTCTTCCTGAACCATCTTGAGCTTTACTGAGCATCTCCCATCCAAGTAATGATCAGGCCTAACTAAGGTTAGCACATGAGCTCTGACAAGACTACAATCTGATGTGCTATTGCTCCTTATGTACTAAAAAAAGTTTATGAACTCAGAGCTTAATTCATGCTGTAGGCCTGGTAAGAGTGCCTTTTTTTTTTTACAAGCATATTTCCCCCTTTACTGCCTCCTTATTTTTTCCAATATCTAGTAGTTGATCTCAGTGACCATTGGCTATCACGGATATCTTCATTGCTGATGAAAGAAGCTGACTCATAATAACTGGAAGCAGACTTTCTTCAACTATAAAATATATGGCAAAATCTTCCAATCAGTGCCATCAGGGAAAATATGTTTATTTTACTGGCAACACAAGCATGTCCTCAAGAGAAGGCCCACACAAACAGACAAAACTTTATAAAATGAAATATCATATTACGGTTTCAGTGCCATAAAAACGTGGCTGCAAAAAGAATTACTTCCATAAAACCATGGCTGCAAAAAGAATCAAAGGAATGTGTGACATTTATTTTCATAGCAAATATACATGATCAAGTGCCCAACTCAATATTTTAGAGGAGTACTGTAATGTCTACTGCTCAAAAGTCACACAACAGTGACCTCTTTCTGCAAGTTGTACGTCTCTACAGCAGAAAGAATGATTACAGAGAACCAAATTCCTTCAAAATCCAAATACCCTATCTCATAGCTTTTCTTGGTCTCTTATTTTCATTTGGTTAATTCCTTTCAAGTCAAAAACTAATGAACATGTCAGAAAGGGAGCTAGAATTCAACAAATATCTTTGTTATTAATCTATCATGATAAAGTTTGTTTGCATGCCAACTGAGGTTGGTGAAGGCCCAGTACATATAAACTGATGATATTTTTTATATATAAAGCAAAGGAAAATGATTGTTTCATGATTACCAAGGCCCTGAGGTAACATGCTCCCATTACTGCCTTTCAGCATTCTTGTGTCTTAAGCAGAGTAGACACTAGAGATTTCACTGCATCACAGCCAGATTATGAATTGCCAGCACTGCATATATACATAGACTGCACTCCTCTTTTCCAAGGTGTACAGATAAGATTCCACAATTCACAATTCGCTAGCCAAACATATAGAAGTTGGATTTTACTACAATAAAAAAGTTTCTCTTCTGCATTACTCTTCCTTATCAAGTAACAAATCATGTGAATGCCTTTTGCACATGCAGTATATAAGCAGATAATATTAACATTTTTGGAATGGCGTATTATATTAAATGTAACTGAATCCTTGCTATCCCCTCTCTTTAAAGGCTTGTCTATGTGAGACAGTTATACCACTATAACATTAAGGTGTGAATTTAAATCAATACATTTACACTAGTATAATTTAATGTAAACCCCTTCCGAAGCAACATAAACTTACCTGAAAAAAACCTCTTTTATGCAGGAATAAAAGTGTCCAAAAAACTATATCAGTTTTACTATACCGCTAAAACTTTGCCATGTAGACAATCCCTAACAAACTAACACCCAAGCCTTTTATCTTGTGAAGGCTTTTGACCAGCTTCCTCATCCTATTTATCAGAATTTCATTGTTAGCAAGATAACACCTAAATTCCATGGAGATGTCCATGGAAACACGAACATGTGATGCATACAATTTTTTAAAAAAGAAATGTCAGTATGTATAAGAAAATATTGCTTATTTGGATAATTGAAATAATGTAATTCCCCACATTCTTTCCTGATTTCTTTTGTTAGCAGAACAGTTTGCAATAGGCCTATATCTTAGAATGCTGACAGAACTAGGAGAGGAAGAGGGAGGGGGTGGGCCAAGAAGTATAAAGCGGGTTTTGTTGAGCAGAATTAGGAAAAAGCAGTTCATTTTCTTCTATTTTTTTATGACAAAGAATTGTGAAAGAATGAACATGAGAGATTTGTTCGTGCTTCTGCAGAAAATTTTAATGAAAAGTGGCAACATAATAATATACTCCGGTAAATTAGGACAGGGTAGTAAGCGATTATACAAAAGTCCATTTGTGACAGAGACAGCAGGAGGGAAAATTCTCCCTTGTCCAGTATTTCAAAAGCACTGGTTTTGTACATGTTCCCTGATACCACGAGCTCCCTGACAGGGATTCTTTCATCTTCCCCATTAAATATTTCTTGTGTGGACCTATTCTGAACTTGGTGAGGAAAAAATACATTTGTATGGAATAAAAAAAATGTATTGAACTGTACACTCATTACCTTTCAAATATGGAAACATTTGTGAAGGTTTGATCTTCAAATGGGAGTTTAAAAGCTATCCTATTGTTTATTTTGTTCTTATTTTCATAATAGGTGGAAACAATACAAACCAGACAAGGGAAGAAGAGTTAAATAAATCTAGAGCAAAACAAACATGCCTTACTTGATGGTTAAGATAAGGTCCGTACCTGTATTAGTGGGCTTAGAAATTCTTCCTTTAGGGACTGGAAGTAGCAATAATTCCAAAGACTGTGGTGGAGTTACTTTCTCTTGCTTCATCTCTGAAATCTGCAGGGGATCCTCTGCAACTAGTGACTTTTTCTTCTCAGCCAACAGGCTGCCTGCAGCCCTTGCAGCCACCTCCTTGAGTAGGGCAGCTGAGGAGGTCATTGAGGCCAGGGAAAGGAAAGAACTGGCTGGAGGTGGGTGGTCCTGCCCAGGAGTCATGCTTCTTTCACTAACTTTCTTTGATAAAGCTGCTAAGGTTGAGCTGGCAGACTGAGAATTAAAAGGTGAAGAAAAGGATTCAAATCTTATAGTATCTTCAGTCCTTGAAAGTGATTTGTCCTGAAGAACTGCATTGGCTGCGGCTTTCAATTTCAGGATAGCTGAATCTGGGGACAAACCACAGGTGGTGGTTGAGTTTGGCAACCACTTACCTTGATTCCATATAAACCGATTATTTGCATTGTATTGGTCATTTTGTTCCTGTTTCTCAGCAAGCTTTCTGGCAAGAACACTTAGCTGCTGGGCATGATGAGAAGGTGGAGAAAAGGAGAGATTTGAACCAACATTTACAGGGGACTCGACCTTGCCATTGACTGTAACAGCAGTGTCCAGCTTGAGAGAACCGGCCTCCAGAAGCCTTCTCAGGTTACTGCTCAGTGGCTTATTTGGGCCAGGAGATTCATCTTCACACAAAGACGACACATCAGGAGAAAGGTGTTCTTTGCTCTGTAACGTCTCTCTTAAAGCCTCATTTTCAATAGCTATCAGCTCCAGCGTGTTGCTGCTAGGAGTTGCACTTCCCAGAGAAGTATCCGGAGAAGTGGACTGCGCCTGGATTCTATCCTCAAGAGATAACTTGAAGTTTTCCTGGACTTCTCCATATGATGCTTCCGATGGGGTCTCTGAAGAGTTTCCAAACCAGTGTTCTTCTTCACTAAGTTCACCTTCCACTTCCTCCTGTCTAGTACCATCTGTGGGATACCAAGAACAAGAAGTTTATTTCCAAAATATTAATGTGTCCTTAATGCTAAGTGTGTAAATTTCTCTGAATACCTCCAGTTCTTGTCTCACCTCAACAAGATTCTAATGAATGCTAGGGAAAATTGCATCAGCTGGAGCATTTTGAACAGTTACTAAACATTTGTCTCAAGTGCTTTCGTTTGGCATCTGGACTAGTCAGAAGAGGTAGCTTTCAGAAAAAAAAGAAAGAATGAAAGAGTGGAATAAAAAAGAAAATAGTGGAATAAAAATGAAAGCATGATGGACTTATCAGTAAGTCCTTAAAAACTTGCTAAGTCAGTGTAACTGTATAATTGCAGTAATGTATTTGCATGACCAGAGCATGGGCATCATTTATATATTGCTATTATTTAAACCAACATAGGCCGCTAATTTCTCACAATGTTATAATTTCAGTGATGTTAAAGCAGTGATGTATTTGACTCATTGAGTATTATATACTGTACCTAAAACTCTGTAAGCTTAGTGCAGAGATGTCTTCAAAAAACAGACCAGGTGTTGAATCACTCATATTAAAAGTAGTTGCCTACAGTTATTTTAATCTTAGTCCAATCTGCACTGTGCCCTATTTTGAAAAAAAAAAAAAAAGAAAATTTGTTGCTGTAATGCATGATGTTTCTTTTCTGAATAGCGGGGAGCAGTAACACTTAAACTGCAAGCTAATGTATTGATCTCGCCAGCTATTTAGAGAGGAAACGTAACATACAAATTTTCTTGCTTTAACAAACAATCTTAAGGAAGACCTAAAAGTTAAAACAAAGAATATACTAAATGGGATTTTGTTTTATCAAATGAAAAGTGTTTCTTTCGTACAGTTAGCCACATTTCTTCTTGACAGGTGATTCCAACATATCTAGTCTCTCTCTCGAGAGCTGACTGGCAGTGTTTAAAGTGTGGTGACCCTGGATTGCTCTTCTTCACAATGGTTATTCAGAGAGATATAGATGTGACTAAAGATTTTTGTCCATCTAGCTGGCCAATCAGAATGTAGTCAAGAACAATAGCAATGTTAGAATTAAATTTATGTTATCTCCTCTTGCCAGATACCTTTCTCGCATATCTTGCTTTTAGGCTGAATGTCCCACAGTATGAAAGAGTCATAGGAATCATACTACTGCAAATCAACAAAAGGATTTTTTTTAAAACTATGGACACTGCTATTAGGATTTTATGGTACATACTGTATAGTCCCTGATTCCTTATTCATTTCCAACAAGTTGAAAAACTTTAGATAGCAGCTGATGACTAGGTAATAATTACTATTTAGCACTATACTGCACCTTTCATCCACACATGCAGCCTCAGCCAACAGATATTTAAATAAAAACTGCCATAGAAAATGTATGAAGACAGATGTCTTCATATTCAGTTGTTCTCTCAATAACCTTTCCTGGGAAATTTTCACCAAAATTTGGAGAGGATACTACAGACAATAACTTAACCCATGCTTTAAAGTGAGAGAAGTCCAAAACTTTTTAATTAAAAATTTCATATACAATTATTTTGACATTATCTAGGATCAAATAAAAGGTTAGAATGGTTCTCTGAAAAATGAATGAATCGTCAGGATTAAGGAAAAGGTGCATGGCAGGGCCAATACCCTGTAGATATGTATAGAGATGAATGATGCTAGTCAGCGGTTAGAGTTCCAGCCTAGGTTGTGGAAGACATTGCTTCAAGTCCCTGCTCTATCATACGTATCCTGTGTGACATTGGGCAAGTCAGTGTCTCTCTGTGCCTCAGTTTCCCATCTGTAAAATAGTGATAATAGTTCTTCACAACTTCACAAATATGTTGGGAGGCGCTTAGATTCCACAGTGATGGGGGCCATATAATTATCTTATGACTGAGAGAAATCTATGCCCTTGTGTAAAAACGTAGTTTTCTCCCTATCATGTTCCTCTATTTTTGTTGTTACACACACTATACTTCCTAGTTACAACCAGCCTTTTACAATATGAATTAAATAACACGTTTTACCAATCTGTAATGCAACTCTTCCTTCTCATTTATGACTTTTTTTGTCTAACCACAGAGATTAATGCCTTGAATAAATTTTCACAATCCAACCCTCCTCTTTAGTTTTCACTTGTCAGAGAAAATTTGCAATGTCTGAGAAATGGGACACCAGCACATACAGGACTGTCCAAGTTAGAGTCCCTTATTCAAAACAAAAAGGGATGGGGAAGGACCTGTATCTGTTATCACAGAACCATAATGAAGCCTTTCAAGGCTAGCAACACAGTTGTACTATGTGTGTGTCTGAGATGACAGTGAATGAGAGAAATGGAGTAGAGAGCAGCTTCTGTAGTATTCTCCCCTCTTCCACCCAGCACACACCGCGACGGGTTGGATCACAGAAACCCCCTTGGGACTCCTACCTGATGTGCTGAGACTACCTCTGAGCCTGTTTTCCCTGCCAGCTTGGGACTTCAGTACCTTGCCTTGTTTGAGCCAGACACGCTTCCCTGCTGCAAACACAGATCCAAGTCTGAATAACGTCCCCCACAAGCTGCAGGCTTAACTGAAAACAGCTTAAGAAGTGCTCCTGTCTCCAACACTCAGATACCCAGCTCCTAATAGGGTCCAGACCCCAAATAAATCCGTTTTACCCTGTATAAAGCTTATACAGGATAAACTCATAAATTGTTCTCCCTCTATAACATTGATAGAGCGATATGCACAACTGTTTGCTCCCCCAGGTATTAATACATACTCTGGGTTAATTAATAAGTATAAAGTGATTAAATACAAAAAGTAGGATTTGAGTGGTTCCAGGTAATAACAGACAGAACAAAGTAAATTACCAAACAAAATAAAATTAAACACACAAGTCTAAGCCTAATACAGAAGAAAACTGAATACAGATAAAATCTCACCCTCAGAGACGTTTCAATAAGCTGCTTTCACAGACTGGATGCCTTCCTAGTCTGGGCCCAATCCTTTCCCCTGGTACAGTCCTTGTTCCAGCTCAGGTTGTAGCTAGGGGATTTCTCATGACTGCAGCCCCTTTTGTTCTGTTCCACTCCCTTATATAGATTTGGCACAAGGCGGGAATCTTTTGTCTTTTTGGGTCCCCATCCCTCCTTCTAAATGGAAAAGCCCCAGGTTTAAGGTGGATTCCAGTACCAGGTGACATGGTCACATGTCTTGTGAGACTCCAATCCTTCATTCTTCCCAGCCTGACTCACAGGAAGGCTTGCAAGTAAACAGAGCCATCTACAATCAATTGTCCTAGTTGATGGGAGCCATCAAGATTCCAAACCACCATTAATGGCCCACACTTTGCATAATTACAATAGGATCTCAAAGTTATATTTCATATTTCTAGTTTCAGATACAAGAATGATACATTTATACAAATAGGATGACCACACTCAGTAGATTATAAGCTTTGTAAAGATACCTTACAAGAGACCTTTTGCATGAAGCATAATCCAGTTACATTATATTCACACTCATTAGCATATTTTCATAAAATCATATGGAGTGCAAAGTCACACATACATTCTCCATTGACTCCACCCATTAGGAAGACACACCTGCAGAGGTTCAAGTGAGGGGGACCAGAAGGGAGTGCAGCACCCCTTCTTATACTAAAGGGGAACTCCCCCTCTGCCCCAGGTGTGTTGCAATGAGCACTTCCTATCTGGCTGGAGCAGCGAGAATTCCTCCTTCTGTTTCACTCTACTTTAACTACTGCAATGTGGCTGCCTCCAGATCCCAAACTCGTCTCTGACTGTGGAGAGAAAGTTCTTCCCCAGCATCTCTACCCCCAACACCAACTAGGATTTTTTACCCATCAGCTCCTTCAGTGCACTGAAACCGGATCTCTTCTAATCGCTGCCACTGTTCTAGTTCTCCACTTCTCAGTACTTCCCTCACTGCAGCATCAAGTCCTCTTTACTTTAAGGCTAATGCTGAGAGTTGGCATCTGAATCCTATCATGAACACAGTTCAACTTCCTTTTAAACATTAGTGTTTTGGTTTTAAAGAAGCACTCTGAAGCCTGATGGTTTTGTATCACAGGGGAGCAGATGCATGTTGGGGAGGAGTTTAGTTCATATGGATTCATGCCCCTCTGAGCTCGAGCAAACCTGAAAACTCAAAGAAACGCACCTGAACCCACCAACTTTCCTATGGTTTCAAATTAAATCATAATTCCCTCCCCAGAATCCAGGATGTTCATTTGACAGTTGGAGTTGGTCTGCTTGAATTGTGCCATCCTCAGGGAGCCTATCTGGCTCTATTTTGAGTTTGTGTTGGACAATTTGCACAGCACTATTTGAAGAGACACAAGATTTTCTCATAATCATATCTGACTCACTGCTTATGAGGAGTCCTGGAAAACTTGGAAGGAAAATATATTTCCTTACTGAATTTTTCCATTTCCATCATATACACGCTATATGTTGTTACTGTAGGGATACTTATGAGCACAAGGGTTGGTATTGAACTTTTTTAATTAGAAAATTAAGTTCTGGTCTTGGGGGTATAAATCGCCTGGACTTTGCAAATGGATAAGTTAAATTAAATTTTGGGCCAAATTCTCATTAACTTCAGTGGGAGCAGAATTTGGCTGAAGCATCTCACTAACTTCTATGTAAATTATCCAACAATTGTTCAAGTTTCTCTCCTTGTCAAAGATTAAGGGGCTGATCCTGTAAAGATTCTTCTTTGCTGACTCCCATGGGAGCTCTGTACACACAGAGCATTTGTAGGATTGGTCCTTGAATTGTTTGTCAGTATTTTACACCAGTGGAAGTTGTAAGTGCTCAGCATGTCTCAGGATTACACCATTAGAGGACAGAAATGAGCCACTCAAAGTACATCCTAAACTTGCTAACAGTGTTAAAAATCCAACCAAATACTTCGACAACTGCTGCCACTGATTTAGCTCAGTGTGAGGCATATTTCCATAGAACCCCAAATATGTGGAACAGTAAAAGTG